ATGATGGTGTTGATGATGCTGATGATGCTGAGGGTGATGATGATGAATATGATGCTGATGACGATGATGATGATGGCGATGATGATACTGATGCTGCTGAAAATGATGATGATGATGATGATGATGATGATGATGATGATACTCATGCTGATGATGATGCTGTTGATGATGACGATGATGAGGATGATGATGATGCTGATGATGATGATTATGATGATGATGATGATGATGATGATGATTCGGATGATGATGATGATGGTGATGATGATGACGTCGTTGATGATGATGGTGATGGTGATGGGGAAGGTGATGGTGATGGTGATGATGATGATGATGATGATGCTGATGATGCTGATGATGATGATGATGATGATGATGATGATGATGACAACGAGGAGGATGATGATGATGATCATGATCATGATGATGATGATGATGATGATGATGATGATGATGATGATGGTGATGATGATGATGATGATGATGATGATGATGATGATGATGATGATGATGATGATGATGATCGGATGGGAAGCGCCTGGGGGCCTGGCTCCAGCTTTGGTGGCACTGCGCGAAGCGTGGTGGCAGGCAGCGACCACACCGGTGCATCATCAAGGCGCTGCTGAATGCCTTACGACCTGCTGGCTTCGCCGTGGACCAGGAGCGCCACGTGCTGGAGCTGTACCAACGGCTGGTGCTGGGGCAGGCGCGTGCCAGGGAGCGGCAGCAGGCCTCGACGTGCAAGGAGGCGATCATGGCTATCGTGGCAGCGTACCTGGGGGAACTGCACCAGTGGAGGCCGCATTTCACAGTGCGCTCGCCACTGGCCGTCGGAGTGCCGAGCGCGGACGCACGGGCTGATGCCTTGGCTGTCGTCGCAGCGCGCGTGGGCGTTGAGGACGAGGCAGAGACGGAGGGCGATGCGAGGGAGCCTGCGGGGGCAGGGCGTGGTAGCATGCGAGAGCAGGCGCATGCCATTCGTTTCTGTTCGGATTTGCTTCCCAGGGTGAGTCATGTTGATGATGATGATGCTGTTGATGATGTTGTTGATGATGATGATGCTGATGCACGTGATGCTGCTGTTTATGATGCTGAGGATCGTTGAAATGATGATTCCACTGCTGCTGCTGCTGCTGATGATGATGATGATGATGGTGACATTCATGATGCTGCTGCTGTTGCTGCTGGTGCTGACGATGCTGCTGAAAGAGGTTGGTGGTGATGATGATGACGATGATGAGGATTATGACAATTATGAATATGATGATTACACAGATGATTCTGAGGATGGTGATGGTGATGGTGATGATGCGGGTGATGATGGTACTAATGATGACGATGATTATGGTGATGCTGTTGCTGTTGTTGGCGACGGTGATGACGATGATGATTCTGACGCTGATGCTGATGACGATGATGATGCTGATGTTGTTGCAGTTGTTCTTGTTGTTGTTGGTGCTGTTGCTGCTGCTCTGTTGATTTTTTAAATTAGTGTTGTGATTGCGGTTGTTGTACTTGCCGTTGGTGTTTTTGCTGTTGTTGTTGTCATTGTTGTTGATGCTGTTGTTGCTGCTGTTGCTGTTGCTGTTGCTGTTGTTGTTGTTGCTGATGTTGAATTCTCATTCTTAAAAAATAATTATTGTTGATCCCCCCCACCGGTGCACATTGTTTTTTTCAATGGAAGTGCCCCCCCCAGGGCTCGCACCTAGTTTTTTGTCAAGGAAAGTCTTCCTGCTCAAACTGGCCCCCTGGCCCCCGGGTTACAACAATAACGGCTCCCGCCTGAGACTTCCTTACAATTTAGCCAGGACCCCCGCTCCCGCCCGAGACTTCCTCGCATTTTATTTAAGAATCGCGCTCTCGCTTGGGACTTCATTACGATTTATTCAGGAATCGCTCCTCCTGCGCTCTCGAGTCGCGCTCTCGCTGGAGACTTGCTTGCAATTTACTGAAGAATAGCGCCCTTGCGTTGGAATTTCTTGCAATTTACTCCAGCGCCGCGCTCTCCCGACACCCAGGCACCCAGGAGTCGCGCTCACGCTTAGGACTCCTTCACAGATTACCTAGGAATCGGGATCTCGCTGCCCTTCGTGGCCCCGTTGCAGCCCTTCGTGGCCCCCTCGCTTTGTTTCGTGGCCCCGTTGCAGCCCTTCGTGGCCCCCTCGCTTTGTTTCGTGGCCCCGTTGCAGCCCCTCGTGGCCTCCTCGTTGCCCTTCGTGGCCCCGTTGCAGCCCTTCGTGGCCCCCTCGCTTTGTTTCGTGGCCCCGTTCGTGTCCCCGTTGCTGCCCTCAGTGGCCCCGTCCGTACCCTCCGCGGCCCAACATACGTATGCCCTTCGTGGCCCCCGCTCGTTCGCGCCCGTTGTGGCCCCACGTGCATGCCCTTCGTGGCCCCGCTGTCGCCGTTTGTGGCCCCCTTATTGTCCTACGTGGCCCAGGTGCTACCCTCAGTTGCCCCATCGTTGCCTTCTGTGGCCCCGCATTATCTGCCCTTCGTGGCC